GTATGCCTTATGCTGCTGAAACAAGTGAAGAACAATTCCACATAAAAACATATCATCATATTTATGTCATCTGTGATCTTTAAATGCTTCATGTAAGCTGCATCTTTGCACTCTCTGTGTGTCGATCCATAAAGTTACTGTTTTTAGTTTTATGGTTTTAAAAACTATAAAGTATGCAAATCCTGGCCTGTCGAGAGATTCCCGTTGTTTGATGATGTTTTCAATATGAATAAAGTTGATTGAAAATCAGACTTTTGGTGTTGTGTTTCAAAGGAAAAAAAACCGACACACATTTGGAAAAATTAATTTATATTCCTTTATATTTTTTTTTCTCCATCGCAGTCACAACATTACAATGTAATAAAATGGTAAATATATAAAATCAAACTCAATACTGACGCATATACATTTCTGTATCGTGTTCAAAACCAAATGAACTGTACATGTTTTCATTTATATCTGTTTTTACATCATTTAAAATCTGTCATAATTTCTATGTAGTCATCTGTATTATTGTAAATCTTTGTCTCTTCACAGATAAATAGACTTTATTTTCAGGAGGTATTGTAACAAAAATAACACATTTCCTAATGCTGGCCACATGGAGCCATTGAAAATATCATTCAACTCTTCCCCCAGAATGCTTTAACACTATCGCAGACACAGAATACACAGACAAACAAGAGATACACAATGTGTCTCCTCGTTTCTCTCCCGTCTCTTTGTGGTTGGTCAGAAACATTCGGTGTGAATTCGGGAATCGCTCCCAAAGACCAGAAGATTCCTGAATGGTGTTTTTATGAGCTGACGCAGGAGCGGTTTGAACACGGTCGATGACGGCAGCCATCACTTCTACAGTGAAGACGGGAGGTGTTAGACAGACAGCTCCTGCTCTCACTAGTACTTCTCTTTGAACATTTCCTCCTTCAAGTTTGAAAAATGTGCTTATGTATTGAACTGTTAGCATGTAGCTACACACTGCAAATATGACCATCTCATCAAAAATGTCCATTTTAACAAAAAAGGCTCCTACATTGCTTTTTAAACTTATTTTTGCTTAAAGGGTTAGTTCCCCCAAATGGCAAGAAATCCTTTTTTCCAACTTGCTTAGTGGTGTGAAGCCAAGTAGACAGCTTTGGTTTTATTTGTCCAGGTTTGAATATATATGTTGCTAAGATTTTGGCGTCCACCCAACTACAGTTTGTGGTGCTTGTAGCATTAATGGGACACTTCACCCTAAAATCAAATCTACTCAATCCGCAGACCTCGTTGTGAGCAGTTTCCTGTAGGGACTCGTTTCTTTCTCCTGAGCTACACCCGCTAACTGTATCACTGTGCAGAAGGAAGAGTGCATCTACTGCTAGCTTACTTAGCATGACTGAGCTAGCTAACATAACAGCTCAGCTAAGGAGGGTGCCATTAATGTTTACATTTCTTGCTGTCACAAATACGAGCTTCTCATCCATGAGTAGAAATTGATTTTGGGGTGAATTTACTCTTTAAAAGAATGCACTAAATATGAAGCTAGAGCTTGGAGATGTTTAGCTTAGCTTAGCTTAGCATAATGACTGGAAGTAGGTGGAAACAGCTAGCTTTTTAAACTTTGCCAGGCTATCTGTTCCCCCTGCTTCTACTCTTTGTGCTAAGCTAACCAGCTGCTAGCTCCGGTTAGCATTAACAACAATATGCAAGTTTAAAATGGACATTTAAATAAACACAACGATTTCTTCACTAATCATTGCTTACGGTGATGGTCTTATTTTGCAGGATAATCAAAACATTTTTTTTGTGTTTATGAGGAATGTCAGAGACAAATATTGCCTATCATTATTCATCTACTCATCCTACAGAACCAGAGCTCAGCTGTCTAGCAAACCACCTCCCCAAACTTCATCCTGCCTACAGATCTAATATCAGTGTGCTTATACTCAAGACGACACGATGGCACAGACTCCTACGAAAACACAGTTTCCAGTCAAGCCATATTTTTCTTCTCTCATTTTACATTCTGGATATTTATAAGGAACATTTACTATCAGTACATTTTGAAAGAGCCATCTAACCAACTCATCGAACATAGATCCAACTGAGGATTACCAGAAAAAGGTATTTACAATCAAAATGCCAACCACGAGAAAATAAAAGGTACTTTTTGCACATCAAAATCTCTAGAGCTACTTTTTTTCCCAAGCTGAAGAACACAGTAGAAAAAGCATGACCCGACAAAATAAAAGCCCATGGTACATCTTATAGATACATCCACGTTAAGGTTTAGTTTGACCCTGCCCTGTGCTTATAGTAGCCACACCTGAGTCACACCCCTGAAATCCCTCCCGCTCTTTCACCATGATTGAATTTGAGTATTTGTGCCAAACCACTTCGCTTCTGAAAGGAAAGGATTTCAGTCGTCATCGGACTCAGATCTGGTAGAAACTGGTCTGAGATCAGAAACAGCTTAGCATCTGGCCTCCAGTTCTACAAAACCATGATGAGTAATAATAATTTCACAGCTCTGGACCAAGCAAGTAAAACTTTGGCTAAAAAGAGCATATGAAGCATTACTGACACATACGGCACTCTCTCACACACACGCACACACACTCGCACTCACACAGCCTAACCACAGGCCTCATATGCTTTGCAGACCCTGATAGTGGAATATTTTATCCAGAGAACAAAAATATAACTTTCTGTTTTTACTTTTCACAATCAGATGCACATTCCTCTGTCGGGAGGTTGCATCATCCTGGTTACCCCCTAAAGTTACATCCCTCCCGACCAATTTGAACCCCTCAACAGACGAACTTGAAAGAGAAAAATGTAATCTAAGTCCATAGAAATGATATGCAAGATTAGCAAATGATCATAAACAAATGCAAAAAGGGAAGTTTGCATTGTTGCACGTTAACACTTCATGCTTTCTTCTCCTCGTATTTGCAAACAAAGAAAAACAGCAAAAGAAACAAACAAATAAGAATACACGAGAACAGTGATGTGGTATTTTTTTGTAAAGGTTATCCAAGCCCAGAACCTTTCTGTCTGTGACCTTGCATAGCTGTGGATGTGGAGCCATACAATAACACTGACTGGATTTTCCTACAGAGCGGGCCTGGCTAAGGCTCTGGGTTTTTGGGTGAAGGATGTTTCATGAATAGCGTGCAGACTCAACTGTAGATTGTGGATCTATGATTTTGTGACTAGATATGACAGGTAGTCTGGATTAAACACAAAATGAAGAAGATATGATACCTGCAGTTTGATGATGAGGCTACAGCTGAGTCTGAACGCCACACATGAATACTTCCGCATCAACTGTATTTTTTGGTTGTGTCAGACCTGATCTGTGTTTAACCTGAACTCTGATTGGCTGGAGCTCTGGGTGCAAAGGGGCCATGGTTTGGGGTGAAAAGGTCAGAGGTCAGTGTTAGGGAGAAGCTAGCAGGACAGCTGTTCTGGAACATAAATCTCCCTTTAACAACCCAGAAGCACATACAAAGCTGTGACTCTTCAAACCTTTAAGCCTCTGCGTCGTCCGCTTATTTTCCCTCGAGTCTAAAACATTCATGCAAGAAATTCACGAGCACAATCTGAACAGAAAATGTCTGACTGTGTTCTCTAGGTATTTTTTTTCAGACAATGTGCTATAACAGTGTGCCGTTCTCCTTTGATTTCTGTGCTCTGACACACTGAACCCATGCTTAATGTACAGTGCATGTCCACGTTAGAGTGTACCAAAACTTAGCACCACCTTCCTCAAGTTCATCTCAAATCTCCACCCTTAAAAAATGTTCCACCTCCACTTCTGTCGAGCAGATAAGGCATTGTTGCTTTTATGTGTCACTTGGAGACAGAAGGTGTTGCTGTTTTTACGTACACTCTCTACACGAGGGAACCTAGATTGATTGAATGACACGATTCAATCAATCTGAAAGTGAAACACATATTTGGCTAAATTCTTCAAACCACTGTAACCACAACAATACAAAAACCATCCAGCTTTACTCAATAGCACCATATGAATATTGTTCCCAAATTATAAAGGGGTAAGGGATTATTGGACATTAGTGTGAGAGTGTGTGTTTGTGTATGTGCGGTGAGGTAGGGACACAGCCCATGTTGTTACACTATTTTTTGTGTACTAAGCATATCTCCCTGCTGTGGAGGAAAACCCTGTGTGTGTGTGTGTGTGTGTGTGTGTGTGTGTTTGTGTGGTGTATGTGTTGTGAGCGTGTACACTAAGCACATCTCCTCGCATCGGAGACTTGCATAGCTTCTGCAGGACAGGAAGAGCAGTTGTCCGTTTGGACGGAGCCTTTGGCACAGCCTTGGCCGATAACTGAAGGCAGTACTCAAGTTGCACCATAGAATTCAAAGAGACAATCTGCCCTTATTGCACCATTAAGTACATGTGTGTTTCATATTTGCACCATATGAAGTGGGATTAGCAGCCAATTGACTCTGTAGCTTGAGTGTGTTGCACCATATGAACACCGATGCTGCTGCTTCTGTTGCGAGTTCGCACCTACTGAATCTAGTTTGCAGCAAATTAACTGATTTGTCTTTTTTTTTTTTTTTTTAAATCGGCTAGCACCACGGAAAAGTAATGTAAGCTCACTCGTTGTTCACGTTAGTCTAACTTAAATGGGATACTTCAACATTTTTAGTGTTGTCTTCTTTTTTCACTTGGCAGCAACAAATTTTCCAATTACAATTCCCATCTTCACCCCGGTAAGTTTTGCTAGATAAATCTCAGGGGTCGATTAAAGGACCAGTGTGAGGGATTTAGTGACATCTAGTGGTGAGGTTGCAGAACTGAAACTTCTCCTATGTGCCAAGTGTGTAGCTAAACTATGGTGGCCTACATGAAAATGCGAATGGCCCTATGTAGAGCCAGTGTTTAATTTATCTGTTTTGAGTTACTTTAAAAACAACATGGCAGACTTCCAAGGTTACAAAAACACAACGATTCTTGTTTTCAGGTAATTATACACTAATGAAAACATTGGTTTAAGAGTTATACACAATTTCTGCCAATAATTGCCCTTAAATCCTACACACTGGACCTTCAAAAGAATAGGACACTGGACTTTGCTTTGATTTAAATGGGAACTCCACAGATTTTATATATTAAAGTTTGTTAACAGCTCTTGGGGAGTATGACTAATTACCTAAATTGATGTCACTTGAGTCAGCGTCAGTTGGGACTTGAAACTACAAGTTTGAATACTACAAAGATCTGCAGGTCTGGATTCCCTCTTTGTACCCTGCTCCTAGTAGCTGTACAAGTAAAACACACTCAATTCTCCAACTGAACTGTCAGTGGTCAAGTTGCATTGTGGGTAATGCAGGTGCCAGGTTTTAATATTTTTTAACTGTCGACTTTGAGTCAGACAATGTCATAAGAGTGAATACTGAATGAATGAATACTGGCTTGATCCTTTCTGCCTGCTTTGTCTTCGTTTAGGTCCAATAGAATATTCATTACCTCCACCAAGGACCGAAGGTTTTCAGTTTGGTTTGTTTGTTTGTCAGCAGGATTACAGAAAACCTACTAGCCCGATTTTCAGGAAGGGTCGAAGGGTGTAGAATGGGCCAAAGAAGAACCCATAACATATTGGAGCAGATACAAATCACTTTTGTTAACATTGCGACTTAGAATATTTGGCCTTGGTGGAGGTTTGCCCTCTCCGAGTGCCCTTTAAGCTCATATAGAATCGTTGTCAGATTATTCTTGTCAATGAACTACTCAAGTTTTTGCTTCATCACTGAGATTTAATTACATTTGGTGGTCAATTTTACTGATTGAAAACTAGCTTGCTTTTAACATTGGTTCAATTCCAACAATTTGACACACCTGGACAAGAGAAATGTTGAAGTACCCCTTTATAACACTCTTTACACTCTCAAATGCAACATTTTTCCCTTTCACCTGCGCAATCCTCTTGGATGGCAGCTATAATAAGAAGCTTGTGTGTGTTTTTGTTCATAGTTTCTAACCGCACCATCTGAAATGGCTGATGGCTGGGTTTCACCTGCTCTACCAATAACGTGGGACGGGAGAAAAAGTGTGGAGTGTTGGCCGGCAAAAACACTTTCACCCCATTCCAAACACTTGTTTCCACTCATTGCCATGCAGTGTTAAGGCGGCCCCCCCTGACGGCATGTGATTTCAGGAGCAACGTTCCTGTCGACGGGCTGATGACTGATATCTCGGCTCATTTGTTGTCGCCTGCCAATGTAACAGCTTGGATTACAGGGATAAACAAACAAAAAAATAAATAATGAGCCATACATCACAGCTCAGCCGTGGGTGGCTTTGGAGGAGTTGATGCTGGACTCGTTACAGGAGGAGACAAGTCACTGAGAGGGGTTGTGACGATTAAAGTCCAAAACTGTTTTATGTCAGTTTCAGTGGCAGCACCCTGTTAGCGTGGGACCAACATGATTAAGACATCACACGCAGAAATATGTAGTAGACATAGCTCAAAAATAATTAGTCTTGCATTTGCTCTTCCTGTTGGAGACGATTTCTCATTTCGTCATTGTCTAGCAAACAGACACGACTGAGCATTTTCTGTGGACGGAATCTATGCCGAAAGAAACCTCCCATGACCCCTCGAAGCATAACAGGAAATGATGGAGATGAACTGTTTGACCCCTAGACGGCATACACACATACCAAACAGTGTGATAAGCATGTACTGCCTTCCTGTATTAATCATATTTACTCTATGATATAACAGTACATCAGTAATACTGGCAACTTTATTTGTTTATCTGGAAGATAATGGTGCCACTGTGTTTTTGATTCGTCTCTGTTTGACTTTAAAATGTGACCTTATTGGCGATGGAAATAGATTGGCACATTGACTAGTGTACACGTTTAGCAATAACAACTGTAGCATTAAAAGCAGCCATCTGTTCTTAGTAGATCTTTAGCTTTAGCGCCATGCTAACACCTTAGCATACAAGGTGTTAGCTCCGTGCTAACACCTTAGCATTCAAGGTGTCAGCTTCATGCTAATGTCCTCAGCATACAGTGTGTTAGCTCCGTGCTAAAACCTTAGCATACAAGGTGTTGGCTCCGTGCTAATACCTTAGTATGTAATGTGTTGGCTCCGTGCTAATACTTAGCAGACAAGGTGTTGAGTTAGGCTTCTTGGCAATTAAAAAGATTATTGTTTTAGTAGATGGCCTGTAGAACTGTATCTTAGCTAATATCTCTGTTATCTAGGCCAGTATAGCTGATGTAGCTGGTTTTGCTTTGAAACATTTTTCAGACTCTAATTCTTCCAATTAACAGTCATTTTGGAACTGTCATTTTTTAGTTCCACATAGTTTGAAGGTGGCATCCATTCAGGAGCAATAACAAAGCATTATTTTTAGGGATGTCCTGAGCCAGTCTCAAAGATCAGTATTGGGGCCGATCAAGGTATTTTTTAACTGATCGAGATCAGCTATATTGAGCTTATAAAGCCCGATCCGATCCTTTATTTCACGTAAGTGCGCACTGTGCTGCTGTATTATCTGGAAAAATAAAAGTATCGGATCGGGACATGGTATCGGCAGATTTTCAATATTAATGACTCAGATCGGGATCAGGGTTAAAAAATCTTGATCAGGACATCCCGAAATATTTTAGAGTTACTTGGTCTTAATTTGAGCCACTACAACTTGTCATAGTCTTATTTTTAGAGCTAATGTTAGCAACTGTAGCCTAGGCTAATGTATGTTTAAGTCTTTGCATTCTTAAAGGAATAGTTTGACATTTTGGGAAATACGTTAGAGTGATTAAATGCCCTTCATCCCTCCTTTCTCTAACTTTAAACAGAGCTAAGCTAGCTGTTTCCTACAACTTTCAGTTTTCATGCTAAGCTAAGCTAAGCTAAGCTAATCAACTCCTTGTTTTAGTGTACAAACATGAGAGAGAAAAATCTTCTTGTCAAACTCTGGCAATAGTTGTATTTCCCAAAATGTTAAACTATTCCTGTAGCACAAACTGTGAGTGAAATTTTGCGCCTTAGATGCCAATACTCTCTCTGTCTCCATCTTTCCCATCATGCTCTGCAACTCTACTCCATCAACCAACCCTCAAAATCCTCTGTGTCCAACTGTTTTGTCCCCAGTCGACAACAATGTGACAGCATATAAAAAAACATCCCCGCTGTACATAGAAAATATATACACTACCTTTTGACTAGACTAACGACAACATGTTCACAACTCCTTTTATTTAAAGTGACGTTTGTTCTTTCTTTGTGTCACGTCTTCTTATTCTACCGAAACCCGTGAAAGTGTGAGCGACGCAACAAAATGGCATGCGGTGGTCAAAGACTCCGGTGTGAAGCTGCGCTCATTTTTCAGATTATTTTTGTTTGTTTGTTTTTTCTTCACAGCGGAGAGCGAACGTGTGATATTAAATCATGAGAACAGACGAAGAGTGAACAGAGGAGTTGGAAATAGAGAGACAGAAGGATAAAGAGAGAAAGAGATGGACTCGCGCTGAAGCAGCTTGTTGAGTCATGGCCATGGGACTTACGGGTCAAAGGTTCCCGCAAGGAACGTGTGTGTGTTTGTGAGTGTGTGTGTGTGTGTGTGTGTGTGTGACAAGATGCTTTTGTGTCTGTGTGCTATCATCAAGTGCGATGTTGTGCATGTGAGAATGTGTTTCTAAATCTTCTCTAACTCTGAACATCCTTGTATACATACATGTCTTTTTCTGGCGCTCACGTGTACCGATGTGTGTGTTGATGTGTGTGTCTGTGTGTCAGAGTGAGGACTCATACTGCAACAGTTCATACAGTAGGGGTCCATCACGGTAGCGGATGCCCACAGCAGCTGGCGTTATGTACTGCAGAATGTTTATAGTCCTCCGCAGGCGCCTGTCTACGTAGTGGGCGTCCCATGCTGGGTAACGCTTCCTGGGCATGTCGATCTTTATTAGCGGGCCTTCGGGCTTGGTGGTGATGGGCGCCGACCTCACCTGGAAGACGGGAAGACACGACTCAGCCACATCCTCTTCCGTCTGTGACTTGGCCATGTGGGCTGGAGTGGGTGGGGCACTGGGCGGGGCTGACGGGGGGAGGGGCAGACCCCAAAGCAGCTGGGCGCAGCAGGACGAGGCGGGGCTTGGCTGGAGGTGGGCGGTGGCAGGGTGCAGGAAGCCGTAGTACAGCAGCATGACCAGGACGCCGCCAGCGAATGTCAGGTAGACACTGCACAGTGCTGGGATAGCGTAGGCGTCCGTCAACACTGGGTCTCTGTAGGCGTACCTGCAGGATGGTGGTGACAGAGGGTTGTAACTTTTTTATTTTAATAAACATGATACTCTATATGTCGCATCCACGTTCAGGACGCAAGAAAATGCAAATTACTTGGTGTAACTCACCACAGCCCAGTGAGGATGCTGTTCTCGGCCAACACCACGGTGTAGTACGCCACCATTCTGTGCCGCGTCCGGCCCTCTTTCACATTAAACCAGCAGAAGATGTAGACGATGCCGACCACCATGTTGAAGAGCACCTCCTCCCACTTGGACATACAGAAGTCAGTGCCTCCATGCACCACCCAGAAGGCCATGGCGCACCAGTGGACCACCACAAAGATGCCAAAGTAGATGTGAAAGAGGGAGGCGAAGAGGGCGAGCGAGAGGACACGGGACGAGATGGTGAAGAGGCGCCAGAAGAGGTGCAGAAGCGCCCCGCGGTAGCTCATGTTGCGCTGGTCGTCACGAGAATCTCGCAGGAGTTTGTGGTAGGAGGCCAGAACCCAGGCGAGAGACAGGAGGGAGCCAAGGGAGGAGATGCCTACAGAGAGACAGAGGAGGGTTTCAGAGGAGGATGATGATCTTTTGTTTCTGAGTGAATCAATCACAGCAAAGTAGTTTGAAGGTTCGTGAAACAAAAAAGCACACCGGCACAAAATGATCATGAGTCAATGAGGGTGTTTGTGTTGAGCACATTCTTAAATAAGAGATAGTGTGTGACACGACAGAAACATTTGGTCATGACGCTTAATGGTATGAGTCCGAAATAAAAAGTTATTTTTGATGTCCCAGCTGCTGTGTGCATCCGCCCCCTGTGCTAGTCACATATTTGCATTTAGGTAGAAGGTGTCCCAAAACTCTCGAGTGATAGGGATGAATAACACCAGTGGGTGGCCGCCTAGATGATACATATCTTGGATGAATAAGGCAGAGGAGGCTGATGGAGTTTGGCTATCACATCCCCCGGACACCTATGATTGTGCTTTCTTTCTACCTGAACAAAAAAACCCTGTGAAAATCCTAACGCAGCACCATCTGCAGCCACAAATTACTGAGCATGATGTGTGCAAATTGCTAATTACTGTTTGTGCAGCTGCTGATTTGTATGTGCTTTGTGGGCTACATGAAAACATGGTGTTATGTTTGTTAACGTGGCAGGGAGTTGGTAGTGTTCAAGTGGAGCTGGTTTCTCTGGCTCCTCGGATGAAGTGAAGTCAGTCTGTCCGGTGTTATCTGTGCTCCACCTACACTGCAGCGTCTCGGCTCGGTTCTCCTGGATCATGATGCAGAGCTGCAGTACCAGCTGAGGCGCAGACTCCAGGAAAGTCTCCAGCAGCCGCAGCATGTTGACATCTGCATACTCGAACATCATGGCCCAGTACCAGCGCCGTTGGTGTTCCTTCTGTCGGCGCGACATAACTCCTAGGTACAGCGTCCTGATGTACCTGCAGGGGTCAGAGGTAACAACGCTTTAAGTAATAATACTTACCACTACTACTATTACCATTAATGCTTGATAAGATAATAATCTGATCATCTGACTTGGTTAACTCCACCTGATGAAAAGTAATGCCATGGGGGAAGGTTTGTTTAAACACTGAGGGGGATTTGGGGGCCCTCTGCCATACATTTTAAGCGTCAAACACTTAATTTCCTGCATTCTGGTGAATTTTATGCATCAATTTATGGCGTAAGTATCTTTAATTTTGTCAAGATAAAAGTCCTCTACTGCTTTCATGTTTTTCTTTGGGGGGGGGGGGGTTCTCTCAAACAAGATGATAGTAACCTGAATAACTTTCAGGTTTTACGGTGGCTCGATAAAGCAATATGAATATTACCGCTGTAAATTATAGTGTCCATTTTCACTATTTTCAGGAAAACAATCAACAGAATAATCAGTGATGAAAACAGTCAATAGCTGTTGCCCTAATTCACATTGTACAGGAAATATCACAATAACTAACAAACTGAACATTTCAGAAATATCATGTGAGTGCACCTCTGGCTAACAGAATTTATAGCTATGACCTATCGCCCTGCTGAACTCACACTAAAAATATTTCTAGGTTTCGTGATGGTCTGATCGTGTGTAGAAGCTGTTTAAGAACAGACAAGCATGACAAAATCCTGATCCATACATACAGAGAGAAACTACTGTACATGTGGGTGGGATGTAGGCAGTGCTTTCAATTAAAATGCCTGAGGGCACTTACAGTGAATGTGTGTGTGTGTGTGTGTGTGTGTGTGCACATGTATGCAAATGTACTCTAATGATAGCCTCCCACTTCCCTGCGAGTGCATTACTACTTCACGTGCATGGGTGTCATTGCGTGTGTGCATGCGCTCCTACATTATGCATGACTCTGTATGTACAGCTATTACATCCATCTGGGTTGAAACATACAAGCTTAATTCAAAAAACATAAATAATGCACCATCCATAGCCTCCATGTGCATGCACACCACTCAGGTTAGACTGGCTCACAGCAGTCTGGCTTCGTGCAGATGCCGGGCATGCGCAGACACGTGGGCTATCCAACATGGGAGCATTCATGGCTAATTAACAATCTAGTGGCACATTGAGGAGAGAGGAGGGTTTCTGCTGTCTGAGAACTCAAATGAGCACTGCAGTATCATACTTAGTACAAGTTTCTTCACCATGGACAACCTACAATGTACAATGTGTGTTCTCGCCAGACAAGCCAAAGTGCTTGTCCATCGTCTGTGGGATAAACCCAGAGATTAAGACGATTCTTAGGACTTGGAACACCAAGGCAGAGGAGTTTGTGAACCTCCCACAGACAGCATTAATGTCACCAATGAGGTTCCCATCTCTTAGACCTCCCCCCAACAAGCATGTGTAGTTGCCTGTAAGCACACAGAGGACTCTAATGGCAACATCCACATTCCTTTCTTGACTGCAAGGGTGGCAACTAAAAAGCACTCAACTGGGCTCAGGTATGGACTCACTTTCCCAATGGACACATGAATAGTTCTAAGCTGGCTTAAACTGGACTCCTGCAGGTTCAAGCCTTTGTCTGAACCCAGATTGCTGAGATCTAGAAGCTTACTGGCTGGGAAAAACCTCCAGGGAAAGACTCTAAACTGGTGAAGCAACGGTCCACTCTTCCTGCTGCTTTTCTCATCCACTGGATTGTCTGGATTCTGCTGGGTTAAGAAACAATTCACCAGCACCAGCACACCCGCCTTGAGTTCCACAAGTAAAGCACTAAACCATCCATTGACTTACCACCTGCTTGCCTACACCTCTTTAAGCCTCTATTTCTTTCCTCTGGGATGGACGGCTTTTGTCCTTTTCAAGTGAAGGCTGGTGGGCATACAGAGAGAAGATGGGGCCTCATGATATGGCAGTGCACCTGGATACCCTGGCAAGAGTCAGAGTCCAGAACTCTGGTTGCATCAGACGATCATGTCAGGACGGTGAAGATAAGATTCATCTCCACGCAAACTGCATTTTAGGTCACAAAATAAGACCTTCTGTAAAACTCCACGAACATTTTCAGAAAGTCTGTTTTTAGTGTTGATGTGTAGGAGGGGGAGTTTTTGGCAAGTAACATCAGTGCGTGCCGTTCCTCGTTCGTGAGGTGTGACAAATGAGGTGACATTTCATCCAATGGCAGACGTGACCAAAGTAATGCTGGCTCTAACTTTGCCAACAGGACTTTTTACATGTCTACACATATATGTACAGTTACTGTTCCACTATATTAAAGAACAGAGACGTCAGACTGTGTGCTTTTGTGGCAGAAATCTATTGATTATAATTCATTTCCTAACCTTAACCAAAAATTCCTGTTCTGAGAGAAAGCCCTTTACGAACTCTTCTCCCAGCAGCTCACTGCTCCAGGTAGCTTTCTGTTAACAGCTTCTTTTCACACTTCTGATTGGCCAACATCTTCTTCCTTGTCTTTGCGTGGTTTTAGGGTTTTGGTTTCAATTGTGTCTTTGCTTTTTCATTTGGACTGCTTGTGTGGACGATAACATTTTGAAGAATGAAGCAGAAAAAAACTTGTTTTCAAGAATACCCTTGTCCATGTGGACTGAGCCGAAGTGTCTACATGACCATGAGCCAACTTGGTTGTGCTTCCTGAACTTCCAAATGACAGCACTCCATCTTAGATTGTCACTCGTGGTCTTTCCATTGAGCCCATTTGCAACTCAAATGTGGGGCAGCTGTTAAAAAGCTTACATCAGGACTGGCTTAATGCATGTGAGCTACCAATCACAGGCTAATTAATAATCTACTGGCACAGTGAGAAAAGTTTCTGCTGCTTGAAAACTCTGATGTGGACCTTTTTATCAGCCCCATACATGACATGTGACACTCATTTTTTTACATGTGTATTCTGAGCGTGCTTTGCTGCACCGTATTGAATTTACACTAAAGCGTGAAAGCTATCCACCCTGACTTCCTGTGTTTTAATCGACACTCCGGGTAGAGAGCCATCCCATATATTCCGACATCCTTCTCATCCTACTCTCTATCCAGTGTACAGTATGTTAATACCTCTAAACAAACCATTTTAAAGCCAAATGAATGGATTGTGTCGCTTTAAAATAAGATACAAACACCAATATGCTGTTTGTCCTTGACTCAAGAACAGCGAAGGGTAAATAAGCAGCAGTGTTTGGCTTTTTAGAAATCCACAAACAGGAAGTCCTTGTTCAGTTTAAGGAGGCTTTGCTGTGCAGCGTAGCAGGCGACCCTGACAGCCACTTAATGCCCTAACATGGAGGGATGTGTTTTCAAACCATATGTACCAAATACAGTAGATCTTCCACCCCTCCACTCTCACTTCCTCTCCTCCTCTCACTCTCTTTTCTGCTCCCATCCCCCCCATTTACCCATTGTGCATGTGCAACCTTTTCTCCCTCCTCCTCCTCCTACTTCATCCCCACCCCTCCTCCTCCTCTCCACAGCCTCTCCATCTCTAAGCAATCTGTCTCAATCAGGCCATACCATTTCCTCCGCTACAAACATCCCCACTCCCTTCCCTCCTTCCCCCTGCCCCTTCCACTTCCTCCAGGTGGGAGAGTCCATTCTGCAGGATGAGGGGGTGACAACTGGGTGGGGTGCACGGAGGTAGAGGAGGGATGTGTGCATGTGTGTGGGGGTCGATTTAACCCTACAACCACGGAGAGGCTGAAGCAGAGGAGCCAAGTTACACACCAGGATGTAAACACACACACACACACACACACACACGCACACACACACTTTATACTCTCTGCTGCCTGCCCAGAGGCAAGTGGACACCATTAAGGAGTCTTCTTGGAGAGAGGGGTGGGGAGGGAATGAGAGTGAACATTGTCCTTGTATAGAAGGCTAGGAGGCTGAAGACAGCACACTCCTGCTACTACTACTACTACTACTACTACTACTACTACTACTTCTGTCACACACACCAAAGCAAACACACACACACACACACACACACACACATAAGTCTGTGAAACAAGTCTCAAAGAGAGCAAAAAACCTGCAGTTGCAATAGAAAGACGTGTGTGTGTGTGTGTGTTTTTTTCCCGCCAGTGCTTTTAGCACCACAATTAGCACCTACCCTTGTCCAACTGTGTGTATATGTGTGTGTGTGTGTGTGTGTGTATATATGTGTGTGTGTGACAGAGAGAGAAAAGGAGAGAGAGAGAGAGGGGGGGACATGTTGCCAGAAGCGCAGATGCTTTTCCTCTTTGTACTCTCCATGCATGCTGACACTCATGGGAAGGGCCGTGACACCGTTTTTCCACCGGTCTCACACACACACACACACACACACACACACACACACACACACACTTAACACAGACACACGCTGACAGGCATGCACACACACATGTACATACACATTCACACATACACAAATGTGCAAAAATGCACAGCCCTGACTTCTCTGTTCTCTCGCTCATGGTGCTGGAGGAAATCAGCACCATGGACAGCGTTTCAAATCTAAAAGCACACTGTGGATGTGTCTAATATCTGATCCCAAAATATATAAAACTTTAATAACTACAGATGTAGAAGAAGGTATCAGAGACTTTTGCACCTCTCAGCTATAGATGCTGCTCTTTACAGCTGGAGACTGGACAGTATGAGTTGCACGATGACCCATAAAAGGAAAGAAACTCAAAGAAGTTAGCCTGTAAAAGTTGGATCACTGACTGTCTCTCTGTGTCCCCCTCACTGCCTCTCTGACTGTCTCTCTTAATATCTATCTGTCAGTCCCAGATAGTAACTGAAACGCTGGGGAGGTCAGAGAGAGCCTTTCCCTGTCCTGCTCTTGCTCTTCCTCTCCCGCCTGTCAGTGTGAAGCAGGCTTTGCTTTCTCCTGGCTGCATGGAGTAGACACCACTCTACCCATTAGCAACATTAAGTTTGTGTGTGTGAGAGAGAGGAAGATGATGTGAGAGAGAGGGAGATGAAGGGGGGGAGTGTGGTGACAGGTTGGGATCAGGTGTGTGTTTGTTTGTGCCCCACCGCCCCTACCTCCACACTTGTCCCAGCTGGAGGATGTGTATGGTGGCCTGCCACAGCCAGATGGTGGCCAGCTGCAGGCGGTCCCTGCCGGGGTACAGGCACCCCAGAGCCACCGCGCCCCGCTTGGTCAGCCCCTCCACCTCCCCGAGCCCCCCGCCGGTGTAGTCCTGCACGAACCAGCGAAAACTCAGAATCTGGACCAGCACGGACGGCACCAGCACGAAGAAGAGAGTGAGGCCGAACCAGAGGTAGTCCTGCCTCTGGTAGTAGTCCATCGCCAGGCACAGGTCCGTGCCAACGTCCCAGAAGAAGACGAGGAGGGCGAGGATGATCCAGAGGCAGTCCAGCCACAGCTGCTCCCGGGGCGGGCAGTGAGTCTCCCGGATGCCGACCCCTCCGGCAGGCTGGCCCCCACCAAGCACAGAGCCGAGGCAAGCGGAGCGGCAGCCCCAGTAGCACGCGGAGGAGCGGCAGCACTGACAGATGTGGATCGCGGCAGAGTCCAGCGGCTCCTCAGCGTCAACATCGTACAGCTGGGCGAAACCGCCGCCGCCGCACCCGACCCCGGCTTTGCCGCCGTCCGACTGCGCGGCCATGTTCCCCTTCCCGCTCCTGCCCTCCTGTGATATGCACGACAACCGCACCGTTGTGCTTTCTCGCGGGGCGCGGATACCACGTCACTTCCCAGATACCTGCTGTCCCCTTCCCTCTCGCGCCGCGGCGACTGCTGTGTCTCTTTCCCGCCCGGGGCGCGAGGAGCCATCAGAGCCAGCGGCCGCGAGACGGCGGCTCCCCTTCTTCCTCGTCCGGTCGAGACACCGCCACCGGGCGCTCACGAGCAGCAGCGGAATCCGTTCCCGTTCTAGTCCAGCAGCCCTGCATCATCCCGTCCTGCGCGCGCGGTCATCTAGGGCGACGGGAGGCTATGACGTAATGCATCTCCCGCTGTTCTTAAGACGTGTCAGTGGATGTGTGTGTGTGTGTGTGTGTGCGTGTGTGTGGGCGCGCACCGGACTCCAGTCTATTCTCTCAAACCACGACTCGTGCAAATATAAACCTCCCTGGTCAGTCAACCGGAGGACCCCCGACTCCTGCCTCTCATCCCGCCCGCACTCTGGCTGCAGGTTCCCGGCATCCGCTGCAGCCTGTGTCCGCTCCGCTCCTTTCCGCAGCTCCAGCCCTCTGCAGCTCCAGCTTCCCCTCTTCACTTTCTCTCTCACACTCTCACTCCGCCCTCTACCGGATAAGAACCTCAACCCCGACTTCACAGCTGCACGCGGGCACGCGCACGTGCGTGCGCACAAGGGTCTTGCAATATGCTGTATAGGAATAGGATGATTGTTTTCCAATGAAATCAGCTAGTTTCCGCCAACAATTTGATTCCCACCGCGTGACACTCATCTCTCCATCAGCCACCATCCCCTCTCTCAATATTCTCCTCCATCCATTGCTTTCTCTGCACTTCCCACTTCTCCCTTTCCTCCTCAACACTCTCCATCCATCCCTCCATCATTCCCTCCAGTGGGCTGACTGCCCTGTGGCTCTGCCAGCCTAATCAGCCGTAACATATGTGTGTGCAGTGTATGTGTATGTGTGTGTGTGTGATCCCTGCTAGGCAAGCAGGGAGATAGAGAGGCGAGGATTTAGGAATGTGAGAAACTGGGATGGATGCTGTATGTGTGTGTGTGTGTGTGTGTGTGTGTGTGTGTGAGGAGGAACTGAGGGAGCTGGAAAGCTGAGAGCCGGATAGAGAAGGAGGGATGGATTTAGGAATTAGTGGAGAGATGAAAGGGGTGTGCTTGTGTGTGTGTGTGTGTGTGTGTGTGTCTGAGAAAGAGAGCGAAAGAGAAAAGATGATTCAAGCTGAAGCAGTTTGAAAGGATGAAAAGATTGACAGGAACAATGCTGTGAAAGACAGAAGAGGAGAAAAGACATCATTTTGAGGGGTGGAGGCACAAAAAGGATGATGAGAGGAGGGAAGATGATGTGAGTCAGGGTAGGAAAGGAATGGCAGAGAGGAAAATCAAAAGGAGTGTTAAGAAGAATGAAGTCTTGAGGGGGGACTAAATAAGGATTTCTTGGATATGATGAAGGTCAGGAGGAGGAAAACTAAGGGAAGTGATGGATCTGAAGGTTGGAGAAATGTTAAATTGAAGTGGAACACACACACAGGCCACATCACCTGCCCTTTCACAAGCTTCCACACACACGCTTAATTTATTTTTCCCAAACACACACACACACACACACACACACACACACTCAGAATATGCAAGCATGCACTGCATATCTTCATCGCACACACACACTCTTGCTCCTCGTTCTCAGGAGCACGTCTCTGTGCAAGCACTTGCACTTTCTCTCCCTCCCTGTCCACTGGAGATTAGCCTCTCTGTTGTCATGACGACCGTGGCTGTGCAGCTGAAGGACAGGGAGGAAGTCGATGGTTGTATGGCTGTGTGTGTGTGTGTGTGTGTGTGTGTGTTTGTGTGCAAGCAGGAGACAATGAGAGTGAGCGACACCAACACTGGAGTTATTCAGCTCAGAATGTGGGCTTTTTCCCCCTGACATTTGGACTTAAGGCTAATTACACCGAGTCTTTCTAGAAATGCAGACACACATGACCTGAGCACCTGCAGAGGCATGTGTCAGCAGCAAACTGGGTAGAAGTTTGGTGCTATTGTCCAAAACTCATTCAGCTTTTCATGACTTAAATGGGATGCTTACAGTCAAGGTTGCACATTGTGCCATGTCTACACAAACATGCGAATCCAAACAAATCAAAACTTTTCCCCTGCTTTTGTTGTGAGTATGAGGCTCAGCAGGTCATCTTGGAAGGACAACTTCATACAAATAATGTACAAAAACATTATGTGTATGCAGTAAAAACCAAACCTCCTCTTATGAATCATGGGTTGCAGCTGCAGTCTCCACTATACAATATTTATCCGAATGAATTACCAAAAACGCCGGAGGACTCCACATCAAATGCTTCCTGTGTGCGGATGATTTGGTCGTGCTGCTCAAGACAAAAGCAGGCAGCAGCAGCAGCCCCTGGATCAGCAGTAAACTTCAAAAGATCAAAACAATGATCTTGCGCTGAGATGATTGGAACCACCACGGCACAAAACGGGAGTTTTAATCTGGCTGTGAATGACTGCGAGGACAAAGCGAGATAAGAACACCACAGATATGCGGAAATTTGTACATGTACAGCAGGGGCTTTGAGGGAGAACTCAATATGAGGCTGGTGAACTAAATAAGAGCCAATTAACTACAGAGGGGATTCAGTTTATTAACAAACCCTGACACAAAAAATCCTAAAATGTTGGGCAAATACAGCCCTAACTGAAGGTTAACTAGAGCTTTATTTGTGTCTGAATAGAGACCCCACAGTTGAAGATAATGTGAGCACAGTAGGGAGGACGACTGGAGAGGACACAGAGTACTTCCAACCCCTAAATAGAGTCTGACAGTGGTGGAGAAAGCATTCAGACCCAGTAGTGATCCCATGATGTAAAATAAATGTCACAAAAGTAGAACTGTTTTCCCCTCCATGCTTTTCTTTTCATTATTATTTTTGGAATTTGCCAACTTATGTGACTGAGGCTGAATGACTGATGAGCATCACCTGCATCTGCCTGAAAATGTTTGTGTGGCACAGAGAGAGAGTGAAGCAGGGTGCTGATATTTCTGTTGACCGCTAAAGTTCCCACCATCATACAGTCCAGTTCTGCAAGGCAATCTACATAAACGTATGTTTGAAAGTATGTTTCATCATAAAAGGATTAAATTAACACTCTCGAAGTGCAGCAAAGGCTTCATGTTTCCTCCTTGGATTCAGCGTGTCAGACAGATCCCTGTGCTCCCTGTGAAACAGCTACAGATCCTACACTGCTGATGCTTTGCTGGATTTGTGCATGTAAGACAATGGACCACTCAGCCACTTTGGACGTTGACCGTGAGTAAATATGAATGAAGTAAAAGAGCGCAGCACAATCCATCAAGATTGAATTAACCTGTGGAAAGAGTGGATCGCTTGTTTGTGCACATTAAAGGAGGAAAGTTGGATGTGGATGTCTCATGCATTTACTGCTAGTGCTCAAGCCTGATTTAGATAGTGGACTGTGGATTTGGAGACAGTATTGGATTGTTTATGTATGGAGTCAGATTTGTGCCAAAATAAAGTTGGCTGTGGATTGATGATGCAGATGTGGATGTGGATTTTGACATTTGCTCTCTCAAGAGTGAATAAAATAAAAGGTGTCATCATTGCTTTAAAGGAGCTCATGGAAAATGATGGTAATGTCTCACAAGTGCAAACTCATCTGGACATTTTGATGCAATTGCATGAGGTGTCAATTTCCCTGCACGTGTCACTGATGGAAATAATACCTGAGGTGGAAAAGGATAAACAAAAAGTGTGGTTTGCAAGCATCAATAATCATGTTTGGGTTTAAAAACCCCATTTTCGTGGTACTATCCCAGCTAGAAAAACAGCAATGTCTCAGTGGAAAACAACCACTTTTGTGGCACTACCACCCCTGTCTTTTGCTCTCAAACAGTGGCCTGTAGCTTGGCAGGCATCTAGGTGTCTGGCCATCCACCATCCCCTCTACCTCCTGATGACAAACTCGCTCATATACTTTGTCTCTTAAAAAATGTTGATATGATTCGTATGAAATGTACAAATCTAATATATTGTGGTTTGCAGAAATGTAAATTGACAATATTTTCCTCTGGCGACTGGGCTGAGCCTGAGTTTTTGTAAAATGTAGATATTAAACAGGGGAATGAAAAATACATTTTGCGCAGCAGAATATGTGAACGTCTTCCAAAACCTATGGGAATCTACTGACTGAAGGTCTAAGAAATGAATTATACAGGCATGTCATTCCATGTTCATTTTATTCTGCTCACAGAGGCACTTTTATACCTTTTTTCAATAGAAATTGACATATTGCCATTTAAATGCTTTGTCAGTGGAAGAAATCTACTGTTGTGCTGTCAGAGCTGATGTAAAGTTGGGTCTTTGGGGTGTTTGGAGTTCATTTGTAGGCACACAAATCCAGATGTGTGATGAGCGATGACCTGAAATGTGGCCGACTCTCTCCGCGGCATCAAACGAGTCGGTTCTAAGTTTAACGTGGTGACGAATCAGATAGAGCTGAAAACAGTTTGTGACAAAGACAGTCTGACTGTCTTTTCCCTCTACACCCTGAACAAAGAACATCTTAAGTGTAGATTACTTTCTTGCTCCTTTGGGGGGCAAGAATTAAGAACACTGCTGAGACTGGAGCAGGATGGGAAGAAGGTCCTGCAGCTCACTCTGAATTGAAGGACCTTTCATGGTTTGGTGCCAAGGTCAATGTGCAGTGCAGCGCTGCAGCAGGCTTGAATGAGTCGAGACATGAGGAACGCAAAGGTCCACTCAGGTCAGGTAGGATTTATTATTTATGAAGAGCTCGTATGAACACAGGTTGAACTGGTTGTATTTCAAAGGTACCTAAACACCATCAAACTAACTAAAAAAAGGACAAAATAAAAAGTTTAGGCATGAGGAGAGCAAAACTTTGTGCTTGAGCTCTTTTGACTGTATTATGTATGAATTCAAACATTATCATTGGTTGGTCGGACAGTGCTGCTGCATCATTCAGTGAAGACGAAAGCATTCAGATTGTGAAAAATGCATCTCGCGCAGTCGTCACGGAGACTGAGCCTGAACGGTTGGCTTGTTAAAGGCAGGCATTTACATTTTGAATGGCTTGTTGGATTTCTGCAAAAGTCAAAACAAGGAGTCTGAATGTACTGCAAGGCTGTTTTTGTGTCTCTCAGGGGTGAGCCTAGGTCTAGGGGGCAAAGAAGCCCATCCAGGCCTCCAACATGGCTGTTGAAACAGTTGACCTGCTTTACTTTCTAAAACCAGCTGCAATTGACCAGGGGAGTTGCAGGTGACACCATCAGCCGACTTGAGTCAAGCTCAGACCAGCCACTTCATACCACTGCAACTTTTCTCTGCAACGTTCTAAAATGGTTTTGTCTCATTGAGAATCTTTGGTCACCTCAAGGCTTGACTTACACAACACCAACCTCACGGGTGAAAGTCCAGAGTTTGTTTGACCCATTAACCACCACTCCCATCCTCCCTATAAGAACTTTCTCACTCTTTAAATTACGGTACTTGCGTTATAAACTGACACCACCCAGTTTGTAT